AGATATCAAAAAGTTGATCACAGTTGTATTACAGGAGTAAGAGTAATTTATAGCTTTGTGACAACTGACAGCCAAAATCAGCAAGAGAAAAGTTAATTTTGGTGATACTAAGGAAATGCCAGTTTAGCACAATTACTGTTGAATGGGGAAGGGAGAGTGCAGTATAAATGTTCTGAAAAATACTGCTGTTGGTGACAACATTCAGCCTTGAAAACAACACCCTGTTCAAGACAATTATATAGCTTCTAACACTGTAAAAAGAGGCATTAGACTGATGATTAAGACAAGCCCTACTTGCTCCCAACCAACAAATGGCATGGTTTCAGCCTTTGTCTCATGCCATTCTTTTTTTGCATCCACTCATACAAATTTGTCCTGTTTCCCTCTTTGCTCTGATACCCAGAATCTGAGAGCAAACATGCTCACAGATAAAATACAGATAAAATTTAGATAAAATCTAAATGATCTGGTCTGGAATGTGGCCTGCATCCCATGAACTCCTCATGTGGCTAAGGGTCAGAATTATTTTCAGTAACAAGGCTTTGTCTTAGCTGCCTCAGCACTGCTTGTCTAGAATACCCAAATCTGCATGTCAGCATGTACTAGCCAATGGGTTCCGCATTTTCCATGTCATTTCCCTATTCCTCTAAAGTAACCCTTTACAAGAGAAACTATTGCAGCCGTTTTATAAATGAGGGATTCAGGGCACACTTAAGAAACTTGACTGAATTCTCACAGTTGGTAGCCAAGTGGGCTAGGATTGTCCTGTCCTTAAAAGCTGCGGCTCTTGACAATTTTGGAGCCACTACCACTGGCCTCGCCACTTGATTGATGGTGGACGATGCACCATCTCTTGCCTTCTTTTTCTTTCCCAGTCACAGCTCTGTCTCTTCTCAGCATGTCAGGGCAGGAATTTTTTTGGCATCTCAGTTCTTAACCTTCCTGTGTTGATGATGGTCTCACCCTACAAGAGCATCAGTTTGCCAAAGCAGACATTCTCACTCAACGTAACTTTTGCTCAGTTTCTCAAGCAGCAATAGGGACCACCTCAACCACCACCAGATTTTCTGCCCCCAACCCTGGCTTCAGCCCCCTTCTCCTTCAGTTCTTTCAAATAAAATCCTGCTACTCACTTGTGCTTGGTGGCTTGTTTTCCTTATTTTTTATTTTAGTTTGTGATGGACTGGTGGAGAGGGGTATATTGTGTATGTTATCAGTCTGCTACTTGGAACATCACTTTAGCACTGATTTCAGGAAAATTTCAAACCTTTACTGTCACAATGTAGGTGAGATAGTTTCATTTGCATATATGTGTATGGATTAGAACCAAAGGCAAAATTATGTTGAGAATTCACTGCTTTTATGTAGCTTTTGGTGCATATAATTTTTTAAAGATTTTAATTTTATTTACTTGAAAGGCAGAGTCAGAGAGAGAAAGAAGAGACAGAGAGATCGTCCATCCACTGGTTTAACTCCCCAAATGGCTGCAATGCCTAGTGTTGAGCCAGGCTGAAACCAGGAACTCTATCCAGGTTTCCCACGTGAGTGACAGGGACCCAAGCACTTGGGCCATCATCCGCTGCCATCCTAGGCACATTAGCCGAGAGCTGGATCAAAGTGGAGCAGCTGGGACTTGAACCGGTGCTCTGCTGTTATGATTTGCCAGCTTTGCAGGAGGTGGCTTAACCTGCTGTGCCGCAACACTGGCCTGGCCTGTAAAGTTTTTAAACAAGTAGTGTAATTGCATTACAAATGACATTGCTATTAATTACATTTTCTTTAGAATTCAGATGAGATTTAATGTAGGCCCTTTTTATGTTAACAGCTATCCTCTTAAGTGCTCACTTTTTATATACAAGGTGGAAAGAGCTTCCACAAAGCAGCAAGAGGATATAACCTATTTCAGGGAAGAATTTCAGAGAAGTTAGGGCTGTAACATGCTCTAAAATGTATCTACTCTTCAGTTCACCAGGAAAGATAATCATTTCTTTTCAGGAAAACAGACTTTCAAAATCAGATTCCTCTGCTTTTAATTAATGATATCATTTAATTTCAATTACCAAGATCATTTAATGCTCAATATAAATACCTTTGTTGCTTACTTGTTTAAACAAAATGAATATAAGTGGGTTACAATAAAAATAAGTTGTTGGGAAAGACAATGGATGGGAATAAAGTTTTTGAGTCATTTTTTAAAAAAGATTTATTTATTTATCTGAAAGGGAGAGTTAGAGGGAGAGACAGAGTTAGATCTGGTTCACTCCCCAAATGGTCACAACAGCAAGCTTCAGGCCAGGCTGAAGCCAGGAGCCAGGAATTCCATCAGAGTTTCCCGCCAGGGTGACAGGGCCCACTTGGGAGATTCTCCTCTGCCTTCCCAGGCACAATAGCAGGGAGCCCGATGGGAAGTGGAGCAGCCAGATAGGAACCAGCACTCTTATGGGATGCTGGCTAATGCGCAAATTGCCCTGACTTCAGCCACCTAACTTGAGAGTACAGAGAGCTTCAGTGTGGCTCAGTGCTCACCAATTCCACTGAGATAGTGATTCCTGTGTTTGTGAGTTTTGAATACTGTTAAAGCATTTTACTGTTCAACAACTTATTTTGTTGAATTTCTTCTGACTTCAATATGGAATTATTTAAATTAGTGGCTTTTGACTTTTTTGTAGATCTCAGCTCGCTTTGATGATTTGTAGAAAAAAGAATGCCTCTCTCCAGGAAAATGCACTTATACACAAACACTCAAAACTTAGCATAAGATTTCAGAGAGTTCAAGGATTGCTGATCCTATTGAATACCCATTAAGGTATTTTAAAGAGCTGTATGACTACCAGTGTGTTTTCAATAAACAAAATGACGACATTCTCTCTAAGGATGTTGAGTTATGCCAAATGCTTAAAGTAAATAATTGTACAAAAATGAGTGGATAGGGGCTGCTGTTGTGGCGCAGTGAGCTAGGCTGCCACCTGCAACACGGACAGCCTGCCTTGGAACACTGTGTTGGGTTTGAGTCTCCGCTGCTCTGCTTCCAATCTGGTTCTCTGGTAATGTGCCTTGGAAAGAAGTAGAGGCTGGCTGAAATACTTGGGTCCCTGCCGTCCACATGGGGGACCTGGATGGAGTTCTGGTATTTTGGCTTTGTCCTAGACTGGCCCTGGCCCTTGAGGCCACTTGGGGAGTGACCAGAAGATGGAATTTCTCTACCCCCTATCATGCTGCCTTTCAAATAAATAAACCTTTAATAAAAGAAATAGATGAATGAAGCCAACATACCTATACATCTCCCCAGACCCACAGGCCCCTACACATAAAAAGGCACACAGTGATATCAACCTTTCTTCAGCAAGAGTGACCCATGGCTCATCTGCATTTTATTGAACTAGATTAAATATCAATTTTACCCCATGTGGATGTCATAATGATGGTGGTGTCAATCTTTAAGTGCTGAAAATGATAACTGAATTTTAGGTAATCTTAGGGAAATTAGAATGTTTTCATGGTGTTCTCTGTAGCATATTCAACGAAACTCAGTAATGTTTCTGGTATTTCAGCTCTTTTATAGAAGACACCTGCATTTCTATTTAATAATTTATTTCTGCTTCAGGTCTTTATTTAATAGAACTCATGGTTACCACTGAATATTTCAGGTTAGTTTTGAATCCTTCGTGTGTAATAATACTTCTCACCAAACTGAGAGTCTTACGTGTTATATAAAAATGCATCAAATACCTTAAGCTCCTTTAAAACAAGGTATCACTGCATCAAAATATAATTCTCAAAATGTTAAGCATAATACCCACATGTGAGACAGGAAGAAAGCTCCTGGCTCCTGGCTCCTGGTTCTTGGCTTTGGCCTGGCCTAACCCTGGCTGTTGCAGCCAACTGTGGTGTGAACCAGCAGATGGAAGATCTCTCTCTTCCTGTCTGTCCTTCTCTCTGTAATTCTGACTTTCAAGCAAATAAATACATTTTTTTTAAAAAAATCAAGATTCAGGAATTTGGGGTTGCAATGAGGGGAGAGGTTAAGAAAATTATCAGAAGGTATAACAGGATCAGTCGAGAGGAATTTATTCTTTAGAGAGAGAGAACCATTGAAAGTGGATTTTAAGGGCTGGGAAGTGGATTTTGACACAGTTACAAAAGTAAAGTCTGATGGGGGAAGGGATGTATTCCAGGGACTAAATAATATGAATAGCTATAGAGAGAAGTTAAATCTTTCTATGTAAGCTGAGAGCAAAGAGTAAAGGTGCTGGCATCAGACGGCGCTGAGGTCAAAATGAAAGGAGAGAATGGCGTCCTCAGAGAGAACCCTGGAGATTGCTAAGGGAGATGAGCACATTGCTGGCTGGGCTAGCCTTGGGCACAGTGATTTTGTCATGGGCCAGCCTGGCACAACTCCTCTGCTGCTCTGTGGTCAGATTCACTGGAGTAGGCTGAGGGTAAGACCTCAACATGGGGATTGGTTTTCTTCGGTTCCATGCAATGAATGGCCCTGTGGAATAGACACCACCCCAGTTCCGAGGAGATTTGAAGCTATCGTTGGATGGCTTTTATTGCCCATACCATAATTCCTCCCTGACCAGTGGATGAAATTTGTTCTTTTCCATTCCGTGCCCAGGCTTTGTGTGGAGAGCCAAACTATAAATGACAGCTGGCTGCCACTAGTTCCGTGGCGTCACACAGGGAAAGCAAGAATTTCCCAAAAAGGAAGTTAATGTCCCAAGTTACATCATTTTTGCATATTTAATGGAACAATGAGAAATCTTCTGGAAACTTTTGTGAGTTGTTCTAAAAAATTCTGTGTGAAATAATGAATTCCAAAGCAGAGCCCTTGTTTCTGTTTCTAGTAGAAGATGTGCCTGGGTCTTCTCAGCAGGCTTTGTCTAGGAAAATATGACACTCCGTAGAAGTAGGCGGTTGGGCAGAATGTGAGGTGTGGGACAGCCCTCGGTGGCTCGGTGGCTCGGTGGAGCCAGTAGAATGTGCGCATCTCTTTTCAGGACCACGAAGCCTCCTTCCCCAGGGCACTCTCCGCTCAGAGGCTCTCCCCACGGTGGTGCTTCCTAGACGGTAAGTATCTGCCTTTCTCGCAGGGGGTTGGGACAGGGAAGCGGCAGGGCGTGGCTGTGACGACTGGATAGGGTCCAGTTTTCCAAGCAGTTCTGCAGAAAGCCCTCCTGTGACCCCTCACGATTGGCACCTGCATCTCAAATGACGTGAAGGTGCTGCTGTCGCAGGACTCCTTCAGAGCAAGTTGGTTGACGCTGGCTTCACTCAGCATCAGCTTGCTAAAGAGGACATTGCCCTAGGCCGGTGCCGCGGCTCACTAGGCTAATCCTCTGCCTGCGGCACTGGCACACCGGGTTCTAGTCCCGGTCGGGGCGCTGGATTCTGTCCCGATTGCCCCTCTTCCAGGCCAGCTCTCTGCTGTGGCCCGGGAGTGCAGTGGAGGATGGCCCAGGTGCTTGGGCCCTGCACCCCATGGGAGACCAGGAGAAGCACCTGGCTCCTGGCTTTAGATCAGCGCAGTGCACCGGCCGCGGCAGCCATTGGAGGGTGAACCAACGGCAAAAGGAAGACCTTTCTCTCTGTCTCTCTCTCTCATTGTCCACTCTGCCTGTCCAAAAAAAAAAAAGAAAGAAAGAAAAGAGGACATTGCCCTTTAATCATCGTCCTTTGCCTAAACTGTTGAGTGCCCTCCTTGTTCAAGCAAACCAGTAGCTGGATTCCGTAAGCAGAGGATGGGTACTAATGTTTACGTTGCATGCGTGTTCTGGAACTTTCATATTATTTGTAATGATGTCAAAGTTTCTGTAAAGATGTGGAAATTTTCAGCTGCGTGCAAGCTTGCCCTGCGGAGCTTACATTTTGCATGCATAAGCGGTTAGTTATTTTATGATTGCTTAATGAGCCCATTTTCCATCTCAAGCACCTCTAACTCTCTCAGGTGCTGCCTGCTCTTACTTTTCTATCTAATCACCCATATTGTAATATATTTTCACCTCTATATATCCTTGGCTTTAAAAAAAGAGCTATTTATTTATTTAAAAGGCAGAGTGACAAAAGGAGAAAGAGAGAGCAAAAGAATAAAAATGAGAATTTTGCATCTGCTGGTTTGCTCCCCAAATGACCAAACATCCAGGGTGGGCCAGGTCAAACCCAGGAACTAGGAAATTCATCTCAGTCTCCCATTAGTTGCAGGGGTCCGAGTACTTGGGCAATCATCTGCTCCCTTCCCAGGCATATTAACAAGAAGCTCGATCAGAAGCAGAGTAGCCAGGACTTGAATCAATACTCTGATGGGGTTGCCAGTGTTATAAGCAGTGGTTTAGTCACTGAACCATAACACGGACCCCACTTCCCTACATTCTTCCTTATATACTACCCAGTGTACCTACTGCCCAGCCTCTGTCTTGTCTACGGAGACTTGGGATTCCTTGCAGAACTCTCTTTTGTTTATGGAGTGGATAACAGTACAATGGGGTGTGTGAGTGTGTAGAACAATATTATTAAGATGGGAGGTTGGACCTTTGTGAGCTCTAACTTAGAAAAATCACGGTACAGGTTTTTACTAATGGCTGATCAACTGCCTCTGAACATTCTTTTTTTCAACTCTGTTAGTTCAGAGCAGTGACAAATGCAATTGTCTGTTGTTATGCCTGAAGACACCTAAGGGCAATTTATGTATGTATATATATATATATATTTTAATAATCAAGAAAAAATTATTCTGTTCAATATACAGTCTTAGATAAAATTAGATAATTACCTTAACCAACATATTTTTACTGTATAAAAAGTTACATTAAAACTCTTCAATGGTTATAACCATGGTGGCAGTCATGGTTCAAAAGAACAAAGTAGAATAAGTCCTTCTGAGGCAAATTTTACTCTATTTTTACCTTTTAGAGACCAGAGATGATAGCCATCTTGTTTCTTAGTTCAGTTTCTTTGGGAGAAAAGCTACTCATTAAATATTTGTGATTTTTAAATGATTGCTTGAGAGTTATTTTTTTTTCCTTTTGTGCTTTTTATTGGTAGAAAATCTATAATATTTGGACTCAGGTTTAAGTTAATAGAAACATGATTCTTTTTAGTATTCAGAATAATCTAAATAGCTTGTAATTAAAATTTCTAACAAAAACAATTGTTTTTCTCAAACCACAGGTGTAGCCCAGTCCTTTTTAGGGGAGACTTAGATAACAATTGGGGAAGGGGACAGAGAGGGCACTGTTTTTGGATTCCCTCAGAGATGGCTGTAGGATTGCAGGTTGATATCATCCTGGCACATATTTTCAAGTGACTCCCCAAATAGGAGTCACTTCCTTGGGAAGTCCACCAACAAAAAAAATGTTTTTATAGCTTTGCTTAATAGAAACATAATGAGTTTCATCTCTGTTCAAGGTTCTGTGCTAATTTTGGAAGACATGAAAACAAAGAACTGAGACAAGTCTCTTAGTTTCATAGTTATCTGTGAAGCTAGTTTCTGTAGACAGAGGAACAGTAGTTGAGTCTTGCGTAGTGACATTGGAACCGAGGAAAGTGTCGGAGTGGACGAAGTCTGTGAGCTGTCTTTAGAAGGCAGGTAAGATTCAGATGGCCAGTGCAATGGGAAGGGCTCCCCTAGCAGTGGAGTAGGCAGCAGCAGAGGCCTGGGAGTGCTGAGTTTCTCTTAATAGATTGAGGGACCGGCCAGGGGTCGAGTGTGCCTGAAATGTGAGTGGGCGAGCAGGCTGTGCACTTGCTGCCAGGTCTCAGAACACTCTGAATGCCATGTACATTTTTTTCCCTCCAGCAACTTCTGCTGATCGCTTTTATCGAATAGACAGATCTCAGGTAAGTTCTCTTCTGCCTGCTTGTGAAAGTGAAAAATTCCCAAGTCTTCAGTATACTGTACTAATAGCTAAAGCTCATGAACTTTTGTAACTGAAACACATCCAAACTTTGCAATGGTATTTGTGTTCTAAGCTGTGAATGTCTTATTTGTCTTCACATTTTCTGTATGTTCACACATCTGTGTGTATTCTTTGTGTACACATGTCACTCAAAGTGATATGGCTTGATTATTCCAGTGAGTACAAATAATAACTTAGATTATAGACATTATCACGACTCTGCCTTCCAAATTTCCACCCACACTTCTGCTTTTACTCTTATCTAGCTCAATTTTGTGCACTTTTAAGCTCATTTCTGGTTATCAAGTTTGAGAACTTAAGGGTTTATCTGAGCTTCTTAATTGCAGTTCATCAATCTCCAGAGTTGAGTAACGAGAAAAAGAATGTGTTTACCCAAGATTAACAAGTCTTCCCTCTGACCACATTTTCCTGGGAAAAAGATGTACAGTACAGTATTAACCCTAATGGTAAAGCAACTGTTACCCGTGCTAGCGAAGTTTGACCAGATCCTAGGGACAAGAAGTCTAGGCTCTCATACTCTCATGTTGATCCAAATAGCATGTAGTGTGTCACTTCTTTGATTTGGAAAGAAGAGGCAAGATCATTTCAAGACCCAACATAATGCTGGTTGGTTGAGAATCCTGAGCCAAGAGGAATCATCTGTTACTGTTGCCAGCTGCCTGCCACAGTGTTGCTCCAGAGGGACCATCATCTGTCAGGCCTCTGATAGTAACACTGACATCATTTGACATGTCACAGAATTTCATTATTCCTGTTGTTATTCAGATGTCGGAGTAGAGCATTCCGTCACTCATTTGACATAGTTATTTTTCTTCCTAGGAACACTTGCACTTTGTGATGGAGATTTCCCAAGATGAGATTTTTATTCTGGACCCAGATATGGTGGTGTCTCAGCAGGCAGGGACACCTCCGGGCATGCCTGATCTGGTGGTGGAGCAAGCCTCCGGGTGAGTGTGCTTCTCCTCTCTGGTACCCGTGTGAGGTTGGCCACAGGATATCTTTGTCTGCTTGACTTTGGAATTGACATTCTGCTGACATCAAACTTTTAAAATATAGGCTTTCTTGTTGTGTTTCTTCAGTGTGGAATGACTGGTTCTTTTATCAGTCTGTTTTATGAGTGAGTGGCTATATAGAAATACTTTCCCAATCAGAGTTGTGTCCCATCTGAACCTTGTTTTTGTACTGTATCAGTACTTCCTAACAACTCTAGAAAATACATCTGTATTTGTGTGTAAACATCTGTAGGGGCTTTATTACCCACATATTAATTGATACTGGTGAGGTGATGATTATTCTCCTGCTGCTCTTCTCCACTATTTCCAGCCTACCTGAGACATGTAGATTGTACGGCAACAATGGACATACCAAGCACGTATGAGCGATGTGTGTGCTGCATGTATTTCTGCTATCCCTACCACCACTTCATTATTATCCGATCATTTGAAGTACTCTGTGTTTGTTTCTTCATCTGTGAAATGCGAACAATAATAATAGGTGCTCAGAGAATTCTGTGAGGATTAAATAAATTGATATAGGTGAAACATGTCACATAGTTCCTGGCACTTGCTAGACAGTCGTTAAATACAATGTTACTGAAATCATCATTATCATTTCATAATGACTCTGAAAATTCAGTCCTCTTATCTGAATCCATAGACAAGAATGTAGAGGATTAGTAGGTTATGTTACTTACATAATATTACACACAAAAAAAATAGAAACACTCAAGTTCCACCCCATGGTTTGTGTGTGTGTGTGTCACAGCCCATGCATATAATTACTACCTTGTATCCCCAAAATACCATGAGTATTCTGAGGTTATTTCAATAATTCAAATATATTTATTTAGAGCTCTTTTTTTGCCAGTATTAGTGTATGCACTTGGGAAACAACCATACAAAAATAAAAATGAACAAAAACCTCTGCCTTTGCAAAGTTACTGGTTATTGGTCCATGGAGACTGAATAGTTGAAACAAGAATTTCCCTAGGAAGCATGCACATAGTCACACAAATAGCAAATGCAAAGTGCATATATACACTCTATAAATAGGCATATGCACTTGATTCACTTTTTTTCCCTTTTTTTCCTTTTGTCAATGAATGCTATTTTTGAGTATCTCCCACTCCACGAGGGCCAGCTCATATCCACAATGTATGCTGAGTCTCTGGGGGCCAGGAGCAGTCAATCAGCCTCATGGGACAGAACTGGAACGTGTGTAGGAAGCCAGAGCCAGGGGTAGCAGAACTGCCCTGGGATGGGGGAAAGGCCGACAGGCACCAGGAGTAGCCTGATGAAGCCCTGGGAGTCCCAAAGATGGTGGAGAAACCAGGTATGATGCCACAACCTGCCTCAGAGAAGCAGATGCTGGCGTTTAGGAACCCTCATCCCACCAGATCCCCGGCTCCAGCAATGGGTCTGATAGAGTGAGCTTATTCTGCCAGGCTGGCCCTGGTCCTGGCCTTCGCCGTCAGTCTCTCCAAGTCAAATAATGGCTCAGAGCGCTTTGCCTGGATTGTACCTCTATTAGCTGTAGCTGCAAAATAAAATAGCCTGAAAACACACTTGAACCTGAACCTATCCCTTTCACAGTTCTCATGATTTCCACCCCCTTAACCCTCCTATCCCGGAAACCCGTAAGTAAACTGGGATCAGGGAAGCCACGAAAGAGGCTTGCTCCCTCCTGCTCTGCATTTCTACGTGAGTCTCCCTTCCATTTTATTGGTGTCACACATACAGTTATTTGATCTTGAAGTCCAACTTTGTCATCGGTAAAGAGGGCAGAATCATAGAACTGGCTCATGAACGTTGAGAAAAGTAACTGAACTGATAAACCGTGAAGTATCTGTTAAGTCTCCTGGAAAGGTGAATGCCACTTCTTACACTGGGGTGCAGCAGCCGTGCAGAGAAAGAGTGGGAGCCTCGCGGCTGACTGCAAATGCCTAACCATGTGGCGCTCTTCTTTCTCCCAGGCTGTCAGACTGGTGGAATCCCGCGCTCCGGAAGCGCATGCTGAGTGACAGTGGGCTGGGGATGATCACTCCCCACTATGAAGACTCAGATATGCAAGACCTCAGTCACTCCCGCGTGCTACAGTAAGAGGCTCCCACTGGCTTTTCCTCGGGCTGCAGTGACTGGGAGGGGCTTGTACCACGCTCCCCAATGGGAAGGGTTCTCTTCTCACTGGAGCTCAGTCTGTCTCGTGTCTGTGTTGCTGTGTGGTTTCACGGTTTTGCTTGCCCTGCTCCTTGTATCTGTCCCAAACTCCAGATGGAGTGTCACCTTCCATTGCGGTTGTTTCTGAGTCATCCTGAAACCTTGCATGTAGATCTGTAGATCCTATTAACTGACCAGTGTTCTCTTTACTGGGGTCCAGTATCTACCTAATGTCCCCATTTGCCACAGCAGGAAGGCATGAGAGATTATGACTGGTTTGGAAGGGACACATGTGTTTTCGTTTGTGTGAACATTTTAACTTGAGGGTTCAGTTGTTTCGAGACCTGAGCCCTTGGACATCTGCTGTGCTGTGGTATTGCCAAGTGGGTTTGCTGGCTAACACGAGGTGCTGCCAGACTTGGGGATACAGTCCTTGGGGGTAAATCATACAGCACAATTGTTGGTGTGGATTCTTCTGAGTTCTGATCATGGTCAGAAAGCAGGATACTGTTGGAATTTTTCAGTAAATTCTGCTATCTTTCTGTCCAGTGAGTCCTCCCTCCTGCCACCCTTCATTGCAGGAGCAGGTTCTAGGTGTGGTCCGTGGTCAGAGACACTCACTAATACCCAGTCACCCCATCTCAGAGGTTATGCAGGTTCACAAAATCAGGCTGATTTCCAGGGGTATCTGGGGGTCCTACTCAAATAGTAACAACAGCTTCATAACACAGTGTGACCATTTTGACGGACTGGCAAGATTGCTTGGATTCTTAGAAATTGAGGATTAACTGAAGAGGCAAAATGCTGAATTATTTGTTAAGGAAGATTGGAAGCAATTTTGTTGTGACAAAGGGTAGAAAAATTAGAGAGCTGGAGCTAATTATTTCATTGGCGAAAGTTTTACTCAGATGCTCCCAGGGCCAAAGGAGACTTCATTTTAATTGCTTCTCTGTATCACCTTTATTTCTTTGTGTGAAGAGGAGAAAAGAAAAAGAATTACTATGGATTTTCTTTTTTAATTCAGCAATGTTGTTAGTTCCTGATTGCTTACCATTCAGGGTGTTTCTCCAGTTCCTTTATGTACAGAATTGCAGATTGGGAGCAGGGCAACTCAGTCACCCATGCGTGGCTGAAGAAGTGGCAGTTTGTCCGTGGGTAGACTTTTAGAAAATCAGAGTTTTAATTAGCTGCAGAAATAGCTGTTAAGCTTAGACAAACCACATGAGTGTTTTTCGTTGTTCATATATATAAAGGCTATTTTCAAAAAATTAGAATGTGATTTTTGTCTAGTTTCCAATGCCCTGTTTTTTCTATAGATAACGCACTGATATACATATCTTGATACACGAAATGGCTGTTTCTAAGATGGTAAATGGGCTTCCCAAGAATCACACATAAATGTACAACTTTATGTAATAGCGTCAGTTTTAAAGCACTGTGTTAAAATCAACTCAATTTTTGTCTGAGTTTTGTTATTCTTTCAATATTTCACTTGATTTTTTAAAAAATTTATCTTCATTGGCATATATTGGTTTTCATAGTCATTCATTACTGTTTTATCTCTTAAATGAACCAGAGTAGTTGACTCTTTGTAGGAAAACACTTCTACAGAATCACTTGGAAAACAAATAAAATGACATCCAAATATTCACCTCTAGACTTTGAGTTTCTGCAGCTGAGTCTCTAGACGTTGTGGCACAAGGCAGACTCGTGGAGTACACGAGATGAAAAATGATTGGGGAAAAAAAACTAAGTAAATACCTAATGTTAACTCTTCCATTATTTCTTCAAATTTTTGCATTGTGTGTATCCTTTAATTGTTTACAAATAACATTTTCATTTCCTGAAGAGATCATTTCTGACACAAATTGATATGATCTCAGTTATTAAAATATCTAGTAACAGTCATAATAGCTACTATTGATGAAATGTCTCCTAGCTGCCCTGTCCTCCTTGTCTTTAACTTTTCAATAACTTTTATTTATTTAATGTAATTTAATTTTTTTCTTTGAAAAACATTTCATTTACATAGGGTAACAAATTTCATGTATTTCATATATATAGTTTTAAGAGCATGGCTTCCCACGGTACCCTCCCTCCCTCCCTGGCACCCACCCTCCCGCCTTTTTGTTTTCTTATTAGCCAGTGCTTTACAGATGAGTAACTGGGGCTCACAGAGGGTAAACTCTTTTTCTTAGGTCGCTCACGTTAGCAGGTATGGTTGGAATTGAGGTTGGTTTGACTTTTGACTCTGTGCTTTTCCTGCTAAATTACGCTTTCCCAAAGGGAACCCTGCCAAGGCAGTGTGCTCAAAGCCCTAGAGCCCCAGAAAGTACACTTTTGTTCTGTTTCTTTTAAACATTCGTAAAGTAAAATATCCTCAATATAGAGGTATTATCTATGCACATTAAATATGTATTTGCAAGCTTTCTGCATAGCAAATATAGCAGCATTTTAAAACAATTTCTTTGCTGTGCAAAAAAGAGATTGAGTCAAAAATATTAAATATTATTTAAAATGTCCAAATTCAAATAAGTATAAAAATTAAATAGAAGGCAATTCTGTTCCAATCACCCTTATTTTGTCATGTTTTACTACATGTACATTAGGTCTTCCTTTTAATTCATAAACCACATAGAGTAGCATAATAATATAATAATTATAATATTGTGGCCAGCGCCGTGGCTCACTTGGCTAATCCTCAGCTTGCGGCACGGGCACCCCAGGTTCTAGTCCTGGTTGGGGTGCTGGATTCTGTCCTGGTTGCTCCTCTTCCAGGCCAGCTCTCTGCTGTGGCCCGGGAAGGCAGTGGAGGATGGCCCAAGTTCTTGGGCCCTGCACCCATATGGGAGACTGGGAGGAAGTACCCGGCTCCTGGCTTTGGATCGGTGCAGTGCTGGCCGTGGCGGCCATTAGGGGAATGAACCAATGGAAGGAAGACCTTTCTCTCTGTCTCTCTCTCTCTCACTGTCTATAACTCTACATGTCAAATAAAAAAATTGTCGCTCCCCCTCTTCGCAGAGGAACAACACAGGACCCTGCGCTGTTCTTTTGTCTGCTTGGCCCTTCCCGGGTTTGCTGCTGGTCCTTCCCAGGTTGGCTGCTGACCCCTCCACCTCCGTGGAGGGGTGCCCCCCCCCGCCACTTTCCCCCTTCCGCGGAGGAGCGGCACACCGCCGGCCGGCTCTCTCGGGGGCTGCTCAGGTGTTCCTTCAGATGTTCCTGGTGCATGTTGTCTCTCTCCTCCTTTATAGTCCTCTTCCACCAATCCCAACTCTGCTGCTACCCACACGCCGAGTACGCTGCTCTCCTCCAATCAGGAGCAGGATCAGCTCCTGCAGGTCATCACTCAAGTTGGCGAGAGGCAGCTGCGTAGAAGTTTACTCCTCCCAAGCGCCATATTGTGGGAGAGCAGATGCATAGAATAAGTCTTAATTCCAGTAACTTAGTCTAGTCTCAATTGCTCCCCACAAAAATAATAATATTGTTTTATGATTTTGTATTTTTTGTTTTTTTTTTTTAAATTTTTAAACACCTGTGTCATGCATTGCATATACTTTTGGAACTTGCCGTTTCATTCAACTTCATATTGTTGAAATTCATGCTGTTATATGTGGATTTTAATACCTTTTTGGTAGATAATATTATATCATAAATGTGGCATACTTTGTTTCTCCAGTTTGGTTTTGACTTAGACTATTTTATGATTCTATTTTTGTTTGTTTCTTGAAGAGCAAGACCTGTGTTGCTGTGTTCTCGCCCTCCCAGCTCCCACCCTCACGGGGGTCTCCCACAGGGGTTCAGGTGCCTTGGGGTGAGGGGCCGGGCCACCCCTCCCATGGCGCCTATTTTATGATTTTTAGAACTGCAGCAAACATCTGGTACATGTGTGCTTCTGTGTTGCAGAGTATGTATGCAGATTCAAATTTACTCAGTATTACAACCTTTTCCTTCACAGCTGGAATATTTAAGGATCTATCCACAGAAAGGTCATGGAGAATTATGATAGCATGGTTGGCATTTGGTGCTTCAGCTTTAAAGCCCAGTCAACTTGGAGATAGGAAAAGTTAAATTTTCACATCCTGTTGACGATAAGAACAGACAATAAAGAAAAATTTTTAATTCTTAGAATTGAAAATACAATTTATCAACATTTTCAATACACTGCTAAAGTGTGAGTCACAGAACATTGATGAGTATATTTATTTATTGAGGGGAAAATGATTACATAAAAATAAACAAAGTGTTAAGTTTGATAAATTAAGAAAAGAATCTCAGAGTAAAAAATGAAACAAGAAGGGAGAAAAATAAACAGACAGAAATCAGTGAAAAGGAGAATAAAGTAAACAAAGCCAAAAGTAAAATTCTTTTAAAATTGATTGTGTGAAAAGGTAGATGAGAGAGGAAATTCGGAGAAGAGCTACTTTTAAAAAGCTGAAATGAGAGACGGAAGGAGTACAACTAAGGCACCTTCTCTAGTACTCTTCATGGAACTGGCACTGCTTGGCTCCAGCCAGCCCTTCTCTCTGCCTTCCCCCTAATTCTAACTGGCCCCACTTCCCTGGGTCTGCTCTGGGCTTTCTCACAGTTTTAAACTTTAATGTCTTAAATCCATTGCCCTTCTTCCTTTAGGGAGAGAAAGAGGAATGAAACCAGCAGGGTGAATGCAATTTTTGTCATTATTGGAACAGATTGCAATGGCAGGTTTGCATTTAGAAGCCTGATTGTTTTTTTAGGGGTCCATATGCCTATTTATGCAGAGGTCCTACAGAACCTGTGCAAGTAGTATATTGTCAGGTGTCTTCATAACCTGTGAACACAATCAAATCTTTAACAGCCGATTTTGGATAAATTGGTGGGAGGTGATTAACCCACATTATTACTAGTAGGGCCATAATAAATTTGTCTTAAAGGAAAACATGTATTTTCAATATCTGAG